ATGATTACATCGTAACACATGTAAAAAATAACAAGACAGATGGCAATTCATGATCATATGAGTTGGTCGGATAAGGTATATTCCCGGACTGTATTAACACGCACAATCGTCATAAACCACTGTATGACACCGTTATTGTATGCTACGCAACCAATAACTTGTTTATCTGGCCGCGAATTTAATATGCATCATTTCTGGGCCTCAAAAGAGCCCAGAAGCTGACATGTTAAATTTTACAGCCAGATAATGAATTATTTTACAAATAATTCTTATTAATGGTTGCTTCGAACCAATAAATACTATTTATTCCCCGAGTCGGCGGGAATAATGAAATACTTCCCAGCGGTTTATGTTGGGCGCTTTGCGCCCCATAAGTGCGCCGCTGGCGGAATGTTTCATTTATTTCCCCAACCAGTGAAATAAATGAATTATTCATCGTTTCATATGACATGACAGGGACTCGTGTTATTAACCATTTCTATCACATTTCTTTGTCTTCATTTACATTTCTAAAATTTTCAGGATAACAAATAAAAAGTCGGGGAGCTAACTAATAAGTATGTGAAATAACTAATAAGAAAAAAAAAATAGATCTGTAATAAAAATTATGATTAATAACACGAAAATCTCGCTATGCGATCATAATGAGATGGGGAATAACTATATATTATTGTCAGTTTTTTGGTAAGCAATAGTTAAAAGATAATTAATATTGATTTAAGTTTCAAAAATATAAATAATAGCAAATTATATAAGTTTAGCAATAATAAATATATTAAACCATTATTTAATTAAAGAAAAGGTTATTTTAATTACTATAGACAATACAACTACAAACAAGGCTATGGTTAAATTACTTCAAAATAAATTATTATACTTCATTTCTGTAGGTTATATATATTATTTGCATGACCTAAATAGGTTTATAATTCGCAAAATCGTGAAATTCAAAGGATTCAACTAAAATTTGCTTTCTACGATATGAAAGCTTCAAGTTTACTTAGTAACCTAGTTATAATTCAAGTGAATAATACAAGCTATTTGAAATACTTTGAAATAATTATAAAATTTTTTGTAAACTGTAAATACTAAATCATATGATTTTGCAACTACTTTCATGCGATGCGACATTATAAAGTTTTAATTGAAGATAATACACGACACGCTGATTATCAACATCTGGATATACTAACATCTGGTTATAACTACATTTTCAAACTTTTGATCCTATATACTTAATATGAAAATGCCTATGATTAAACCGGTATCCGGATATATCAGACAATTTCTTTATTTTTTTGAGGTGTCGATATAACCAGAGGGACGTGTAATTAAAAATGAATTTTTTTCAATAAATCATCATTTATTATAAAAAGGTTGATTTTAAGAATATAAAATTTTGATAGTTTTTAGCCTTACATTTTATAAGTCTTCTTTCATTACTTCCTTAAAAAGGTAATGCCGAATATGTTATCCGTGGTATACAGTACAGGCAAATTTGCCTAGACGCAGATTTCCAATTATCCGAGTAAATATTTATTATTGACCCCAAAAGTCACATGCTTTGCTTAGCGTAGTTGTGTCGATAACACCGAAAGTTCTACGTGGATTAAAGAGCTTTTGAAGACCCCAAAAGTAAAAAAATTCAAAGGACACAAGATTTATGCGCTGCCAAAACTAATATTAACAGAAAGCCTTCGGATGGATGAATAATTTGCATACGATATAGTACACCCTTAAATTACAATTTACATAGAGCATTTGTCAAAAGTTCGCAGGTAAAGTTGCCTGCAAGACTGTAAGAGATAGAAAAATAAAAAAAGACTAGAAAATGAACAGATATGATAATGCAACAAAAAAAATTAATTTCGCATGAATTTAGTTAAAAAAAAAAATAATATCCTTATGCTTATCAATCGTCACAGGTTTCATCATTCGCCAGTTGGAATTGCCTGATGAAAAGGTTTCGTCATTTGTCAGTGTCGAAAGTTTCGTCATCTCGTCAAGCATCTTTAATTTCAAGGCCTACTTAAGGGTGTGTATTATTTACATATCCTTTAAGCATTTAACCATATTTTTGGCTAGAAGGAACCAAATTTTTTACCTATGATTGACGTTTATTATCCGAGGGCCTTTTAAATTTCTTGCTTACAGAAACTTCTATAGGTTACGTAATAATCCGTAGTTTTATAATAAGGATTTTATTTTGTAATAAAAAACAAGTAGATTTATTAGATAAGTGATTTTTATTGACGGCAGCTATATGGATGTCATCAAGAGGAATTTTCCGGAATAATAAATTTATAATTTATTCAGTCTGATTTTTTTAGAACTGTGTTTTACATTTAACTTTGCAAGAAAAGAAATCATGATCAAAAGGCTTCAAATATTTAAAATTTGGCAAGTCGTCGCTCAGCTATTGTTACTCGTTAAAGCCAGGTTCATTAATATATACAGTATACTGATCTACATACTGCATTAGATCTACATGCTGCATGAATTTCATTCTTGACACGTATCTATATATGAGTGACGGAAAGGGAAAACCTGTAAAAAATGCTTTTTGAATTTTTAATTATAATAACGATAATGATATTTTAGAACTAATTTATTATTTTAATATCATTTGAATCGTCTTAATATCATTTGAATCGTCTTAATATCATTTGAATCGTCTTAATGAAACAATTAGGGAAGCACCGGTCTGGTCAGTCCCGGTCCTATAAGGACCGTATTTACGGTCTCGGTCCCGGTCCGGCCTGTCCTCGGTCCAGATGGTCCTCTAATTTGATTTGGTAAAAAAAAAAAAAAAAAAAAAGATTGGGTATTACGAATAAACAAGGTACCAGTCCCAGTCCAAAAACCGGTCTAGACCGGTCTTTTGCAGGACCGGTGCATCCCTAGAAACGATTTAAATGATATTGAAATCTTAAGTATTTAATTACTTTGTTTTAAGAAATTTCTATTAAAAGTAAATATTCAAAAAAGCCAGATTTCATGGGTTTCCCTTTCCGTCATTATATAAATAATAACGTATCAAAAAAGCAGCCCTAATCCGAACTCGGCTTTAACGCTAAATTCCTTGTTTCTCACTATAAAAATTCATTTGATGTAATATACTTTCTATTTTCTGTAAATTTAATTTGACCTTGGATTTAAAATTATGAATGTTTTAGGTTATACCAAAATTTTGCAAAGAATCATTTAAAAACATAAAAGGCAGTTTTGGGGTTACCGATATTGCAGTTAGGGGTTTTCCAAATTTGGAGGTGCACCAATCATTGTCTGTGCTTTTATTTTGCCTTTAAAGCTTCAGGGATCCCTAGACTACATATTTCTAGAATAACTTTTGCAAGAATATTTTGAAGGTTTTTTTAAACTGATTGGTTTTTTTTTTTAAATAAACCAAAAAGAGTGAATCTTGTTTTCTCGACATCATTTTATCTACGACTCATATAACCGACATCACATAGGTTTAGAGTTAGTATTTTATTAGTTGTATATATATATTAATAGTAAATTGTTGTCCGTATGATGCCAGTTAAATGGTTTTTTATTTTTTAATACAGTAATATATTGCAGATCTATATCAATTTCAATATTGCCAAATTTGTAATACTCACAAATATTCCTTTTTTGGTGAACCGATTTAGTAACGGTAATGAGTTCGTGAAACTAAATAGAAAATCAATAAAGATAATCTAGCAATCTAAACACGTTCTTACGTATAGTGAAAATTCGGAAGACTAAATCCGAGATTACGATTATAAATTTTTTTTGCATAAACAAATATAGCATTCTGTATGAATAAACCATCCTATTAAACTTCATACCTGTCAAACTTCATTCCTGTCAAATTTCATACCTGTCAAACTTCATTCCTGTCAAATTTCATGCCTGTCAAACTCATGATTTGTATCAATTTTCACGTGATTGTATTATAGTATTATCGTTTATCCTTATTATCTCTTACACGTCTTACAGTCAATCACAGATTAAAGAGCTTCTGATGGCCCAAAAAGTAAACGAAAAGTTCATAGAACACAAGGTCTTTGTGCTGCCAAAAATAATATTAATAGAAAGCCCTCTGATGAATTAGTTTAAATTACAATTTAAATCTAATGTGCCCCAACAGGTGCAATTGTCTCAAGATTCGCAGGCAAATTTACTTGTAAGACAGTATAAGGGGATATATTAAAGTGCTACCATAACTGCTAATTTTGATTGTAATTTACTTATTATTCGTAACTCTGGTTGAATATACAAATCATTTGGACAAACTTAAAAGTTATTATGGCTAGTCATAATACTGATAATCGGATATTTATAGCAGACAATACCGTATCTGAGATATTTAAGAAATCGATATATGTAATTTTCATATGAAAATTTGTTTTGCCCATTTGGCATACAAGCTATCTAATTTTGTTTAGTATTCTACTAATTTTCCGCAATCAAATGAGAATGTATAGAAATAAAACAATTGCAAATAGAAATTCATATAATTTATATGCATAATTAATTGCATGTAATATTTATCAATTAAAGCAGTTCAAGTCTATAAAATCAATTAATTAATTTAAGCATACATAATACACAAAACCTTGTACATGTTAACTTTGATCACATTGGCGTATCAATTGGTAACAAATTTATAAAACAACAAGCGTTAATGAATCTAAAAAGAAATATAGATCACAAACATACAGGAAAAATATTTTATTTGTAAAAAATAAGATCTTGTATCACAAATTAGGAAATACAATTGCTTAATCTTAGTCGCGTTAATTTCATAGTTATGATGTCAGCTTGGGTCAGATTGGTTTGTGAACTATTAACAAAGAATGAACAAAGATTACAAAATTTTTAAGCATAACTTACGGCATTTTTCTAAAATTTAATTAATTAATTTCGCCTCAATGAAATACTCAATAAATAGGTCAACTTACACAAGAATATATTGATAATGCTATTATTAGAGGACAGCACCAGGTTCTCCCGATGTTGTTCTACAAACTTACTTTATCAAAAGTTATAAATACGAGTCTTCAATGTTCAAAAGGTTAACTTCACCACTAATGCCACCAAGATCAAATAGTCAATTAACGCGCCGTATTAACGTAACTATAGCGTGCAACTCTTGCCGACGTAAAAAAACCCAATGTGTGGCATGCCCTGATCAACTTACTAGTTGCTGTGAATGCATAAAACATAATGTTGAATGCATTTACTCTATTAGCACAGGAAAACGTGGGCGCAGACCAAAGATTAGCACAGGAAAACGTGGGTGCAAACCAAAGATTAGCACAGGAAAACGTGGGCTCAGACCAAAGAAAGGCCGTATACACTCTGCACAATCTTTTGATAATGAGAACCCTGTGCATTTTTCCGACAATGATTCTTCTACCCCCCCTTCCGATAATGAACCCTCGACGCCTCCTTTCGATAATAATCCTGATTTATTTGGACCATATCCCCGTTTATTTTATGGCGTGTCACAAGAAGAATTAAAACTAATTTCAAACTCGTTTAATGAAGATAAAATATCAGACGTATTAGATACCCTCACATCGACTTCACTATTGCCTTGCCCATCTCAAAAAATTCCAGGACATTACTGTCATGAAGGATGCATTGTGAGATATAAATATAACTTTTGAGAGTTATATCGTTTATATCTCGCATATTTTATCCATATTTTATCTTTATTATCGTTTCCGAATTTAGCAAAATCTATATGTTAACGTAAATGATGTTATTGTTAGATTAAAATAATCGTAGGTATTCAATAATGGTATAAAGATGGCAAATATCTTAAGGCTCGATTTTAAAAATCATTATTTTGTTTTTAATATATTATGATAGTCACGATCGTGAAAATAGTTCATAGATTTATGTTTTATCTTTATTTAAGTCACAAATATAACCGGATAGGTCTAATTTTGAGAATTCTTTATAAAAATTGAAATAACAAATAAGTACCTATATTTATAAATTTAGGGCATTGATAAAATAATTAAGGTAATATGTAACAAATTCAAAAGTTTCAAGGAAATATTTATGCAAGAAATAAATATGATTATAAGTAAGAATGCTATATTAAAATTCATGTATTTAGAAAATATTGCGACTTACTATTTAAATATTATATAAATAAAATACTGGATGAATATCGTAAATAAATTCCATATAGAAAGTATTAGAAATTCACAAAATATTTCTAAATAATTTTCCTTGATCATGTTTATGATTATTTGGAAGAACAATATTTAACATCGATCGCCAATGGATTATCCACTTATCCACGTGATATACAAAATCAACAATAGAATTCATTGTTCATCGTTTTGCACATATATTGATATAGAAAATCGTATCCAAATTGATAAGAAAGTAATTGTTTTCTTAATGAAAAACTTTAGTTTTAATAAAATGTATAAAGTTTAAGTGCTTCGGACTTCTGGCCAAATAGTGAAATTTTCAAATTTCATGCACAGGCTATTCAGCCTGCTCAATCTGCTCAGCTGTTCACTCTGCATTATGCATGTGACCTAAATTATAGAAATTACTATATATAAAACTTTGATTCTAATGCCATCTTTAACTTTTTAGTGCAGCGATTGTGCAGAGAATTACTGCGCACCATGCGCATCCTGCGCATCCTGTGTATATGCCCGCCTTAACGCCTATATAAATTTTTTGAAAAATGTATTCCATCTTTCTCCAGACTATTATTCCATTATAATTCCGGAAAATGTTCATTTTTCGGAACAAAACATATACAAATTCCTGGTCATTCAATAGAATCCGGTAACCCTCGGGTAAAAATCAAATCCAGGCTTCTAACCATAATGAAGTACAAATGATTAGAAGCCGAATCTTATCTGGATTTGATTTTTACTCGGAATTTATCAGGATTCTATGGAAATAACCAGGAATTTATATATATTTTGTTCCGTAAAATGAGCATTTTCCGGAACCATAATGGAACGATAGTCTGGAGAAAGTCGGGATACGTTTTTCGAAAAATTTTTATAAGGAACTCACAACTAGAAAAACTTCATGCTTCGAATAGTTAGTGAAATATTAACTTTTTTAAATGATGATGGTTGTCTTATTAAAATAATTATTATCTATACCTATAAAAAATTTTGTCCAAATTTTGTTGGGAATGATTTAAAAATTTTCGGAGTGAGTCAATTTTCCGAACATACCGTATACTATACTGATTTTGTGCAATTAATGTTGGGGTCGGCTAAACCCGAGTTAATTCAATATATGATCTACATGCTGCATAAATTACGTTCTTGACATCTATATAACCCATTAACCATAACTGCGTCAAAAAGGTAACCCTTAACTTCAATAGGGGTAGCTGCGCAACGCAGTCGCGCTAGAACCAGGAACGCGGAATATTTAAGCGTTGCGATTATATATAATATCCTCTCAAACCACCAAGTATGCACTATGAAGTAATTATCATGTGTGGCTTCGATAACGGTTCTGTAACTTAACTTCTACTATAAACGGATAAATAAAAATCATAACTTTTACTAAAACTAGATTTTGCGAAAATTGGGCATAGCGGACATTACTTGATTTAGCTCAAGATATGTATATCATGTACGTACGTACGTACATAAAACATCATGATGATCACGCTATCCAATCAAATGCAATATTTTGTTTACACCATTCTAGATGGCAGGCCATACACTCCGTTATGCAAGCAAAACTACGTTCCTAGTACTCCGCTTTAGCCTACCACCTAATGTTGTCAATCCAAAAATTTCTTTTTTTACATCGCAGTATAAAAATTGTACAATATCGTACTGGATTAGGAAAATCGACTCCGTTCCGAACATTTTTTCGGGCAATGCCTACAATAACTGACAAACTTTTTTATAGGGCATCACTATAAGTACGTAAACAAAGATCTTACACTATTCACTATTAATTTAATATCCTAAATTAAAATTTTATCACATACAGGGGAGTAGCATATTATTGTGGACACTTTTTGAAAATTTATATTGAACTAAATAAACAAGATATAAAGCTAAAAATTATATAAAATATTGCTTAATCTAAGGCTTTTAAATAAAAAAAATTCATAAAATTCTATGCAATACTTTTTGAAATAATTAAGTTTAAAAAAATTTTAGGATTTTTTCATTCGTACTAAAATCTAGTTTTTAATAGAGATTTAGTATAAATATCAATTTTAAGTTTTAGTACATATTAAACTTAATTTTTTATTAAGTAAA